GGCCCATGTTCAATGCAGGTGTCCCCCTGGTGTGAGAAACATTGTCAATACCCCAGATACTACCTCGGTTCCTCTTGGCAACTGGCTGGTCAGTAAAATACCCCAACTAGGACCTTACCCCAATGAGTGTCCGTAAGGAGAACTGGGGTGGACCACCTTAGCCCTATGAGGTCACTGATGAGTTAGCACAAGTGTTTACTGACCAACGCTCAAGAAATCCAATCTGTATTCATTTTAACAAGAGTGAGGCTTTATTAGTCAATTTTATAAAATCGGGCACCAAACCCAAAAGACAAGATGGACAGGTGCACCGCATGACCGTTTTACAGGTATTTTTATTTCCTAGCTCAAAAGTTGCTCCCCTGGCTCCTCACTGTCTGAGTACTATGGGGTGAACAATCTTCCTGGACGTAGCCTATTTTCTTTTGATGGTTGTATTCTTATTTTAAAGTTTCTACTTCTCAAACAGAGTCCTGGTGTGGCGCTGTGGGTTAATGCGCCAGACTGCAAAGCCGTTTGAACTGCAAGATTGGTGGTTCAAGCTTACCAGCTGCTCCTCAGAAACCCTATACAGGATTGCTATGGGTTGGAATCAACTTGATGGCACTTAACAACAACTTGTTGAACAGGCTCTCCTTTCCCCTCCCCTAACTCATCCTGTTTACCTATACCCTAGGTGCATGGGCTCCTGTTGCTATATCAGCCAACAATCTGTGACTAGGTCAATTAGCAACTTTCTGGGACTTTGTTTCCTTATTCCTGAAGATAGATGGATCAGTTTGAGATTTATTTCTCACACTGGTCACTCACTGTCCATAGGGCACTCCTAAAGCCCCCTTTCCCTACCATGCCTTCCCCACCACCACTGAGCCAAAGGGGTGTTGAAGATGGTGGTGGTAGTGGTGGGTGTTGTCTATTGCCCACCACCCACCTTGGACAAAAAGCCCTCTTGTCCTCCGTCTGCCCCAGCCCTGTAGCCCTGAACAGCCCCCTTCCCTTTTCTCCCTTTTCCACTGCTCCCACCCACCTCCTCCACTAACTTCCCTACACCTTCAAGTCCTAACTGCTGTGGCTCTGTAACCTGCCCCGGCTGGACAGCGATGCTAAGGACAAACAGAAGAAGGCATCTCTGAGCTGCTTGGGTGACCTGGTCATCTCTGGCACCTCGGGTACATTATTTGGAGTGGAACACGGAGGGTACCTTGGGCCAGTCATGGCTCCGCACTGCCTGAGAACTTTTTCAGAGTTGTCATAAATGTAAAATGTTAGAGATAGTTGATGAGTGAGCAATAAATATATTGGTATAGATCATAAATGTCTAGTAGTTATTTATTTCTCATGATAATCTTAGGAAGAATATTGTCCTCATTTTACAGTTAAGGAAAATGAAGCACAGAGTCATACAGTAAACACGTGGAAGAGCTAGGATTTAAATACAGCCCATGTGGCTCCCGAGCCTGTACTCTCAGTCAATACACTAGACTACCTAATAACCACAACTATACATGGTTGGAGCTCTGGTAGCATAGTAGTTACAAATCGGGCTGCTAACCTCAAGGTCAGCAGTTCGAAACTACCAGCCACTCCGCGGGAGAAACATGAGGCTCTCTGCTCCCGTGAAGATGGTGTGATGCTGTGAGTTAATGCGCCACACTGCAAATCCGCCACACTGCAAATCAATTTGAACTGCAAGGTTGACAGTTCAAGCTCACCAGCTGCTCCTCAGAAACCCTATACAGGGTTGCTATGGTACAGAACTGACTCCACGGTACTTATCAACAACAACATACATGGTAAGGAGCTCTGGTGTGGCGCTGTGGATTAACGCACCAGACTGCAAAAAGTTCAGACTGCAAAGCCTTTTGAACTGCAAAGTCGGTGGTTCAAACTCACCAGCGGCTCCTTGGAAACCCTATACAGGGTTGCTATGGGTCGGAACCGACTCGACAGCCCTTAGGTCAGGCAGCATTCACCCATTTAATCAGCGTAGCAAACCTTGAAATTATTACAGAACAGCTAAGAAATGAGTGGAAAATCACACACCTAATAAATCCTGAAACTGGGCTTCATATTCTGGCAGCCTGGCTGAAGATCTGAAACTTATCCCCTGGTGGCAAGCTCCACATAGATGGTGGTAGTGTCAAATGCTGAGCTTTGTCATTGGGAAGGCCCATGATCAGGTGGAAAGAGGAGAGGTGCCAGTTGGTAAAAAATATGGAGAAAAATTAAGAATGAATTTGCTGTCCTGTATTGCCAGGGAACTCCTAACAATGCTTCTTGCCAGGATGTTGTTGTAAAGTGCCATCAAGTCAGTTCTGAACCATAGTAATCCTGGGTAGGGTTTCCGAGGAGCGGCTAGTGAGTTTGAACCACTGACCTTGCAGTCCAGGGCATTATCCTGTAGCACCACACCAGGGTTCCTGCCAGGATGTGGGTGAGACAAATTCTCTATAAACAGAAAGGGTCTACACAACAAGAGAATGCCCTCTGGCAGGAGCAGGAACAGGTTGAGGAAGGTTTCCTACAGAGAGGACAGTTATCTTTCAGATCCGGTAGATGATCTCCAAGCCTCATTGGGTAATGTGGAAATGAAACCTTTGGTATGTTGTCAGTTTCTCGTCTCAGGAAGTGGAAGGGGAAGTGGAAGGGAAGTCTGCTGGTATCTGAATGTTTACTGTAAACACCTGGAATGGAGCTAGGACTTGGGCAAACACAGAAAAATCCCTTTAAAATTCTATCCATTGAATCTTGTTTTGAGACTTCTTTAATAGTTTCATGGTACATGACAGTATAAAGCTGCCTCTAGTTAGTGAAAGGAGCTCTGGTAGAGTAGTGGTTACGAATCAGGCTGTGAGCCTTAAGGTCAGCAGTTCGAAACTACCAGATGTTTCGCAGGAGAAAGATGAGGCTTTCTGCTCCCATAAAGATTTACAGCCTCGGAAACCCTGCACAGGGTCACTATGAGTCGGAACCGACTTGACAGCACTTAACAAGTTAGTGAATAAAAGCTGTACTGGATATTAAGCAAAATAAATATCTTAAATAGGATTTGAATTCCACATTTAGACATTCATTTGATCATTCAACGAACATATTTCAATAATCTAAAATAATATCCAAACCACTATTGAAAAAAAATCATGCTTTCAGGTTAAGTGTAAAAACGATTTTTAAAAAAGAACTAGACTTACTTATGAAGCAAATAATGAAAATATTCCATAGTAATTCAATGCTTATTAACATCATACATTTAGTAAATATTTAATGAATATCGAAGGAGCTCTGGTAGCGTAGTGGTTACGAATCGGGCTGCGAACCTTAAGGTCAGCGGTTCGAAACTACCAGCTGTTCCGCAGAAGAAAGATGAGGCTTTCTGCTCCCATAAAGATTTACAGCCTCGGAAACCCTGTACAGGGTCGCTATGAGTCGGAACCCACTCCACTGAACATAACAACAACAACAACAACAACTATATTCTACTTGTTCTAGATTCTGGGATTAGAGCTATGACAACAGAAAAAAAGGAACAAAACTTTCACCCTTGGTCTAATTTAGCTTGCATTCTAGTGGGGGAATGTTTACAGACATTTTAGGTGGTGGTTAAGTGTTCAAAAGAAAAACAAAGCAGATAAATAGAATGGGTAGGAGTGTATGGCTGAGGTAGATTATTTTAATGCACATATTCCTTGAAATTTAACACTATGTAGCATTTCACCTATACTGACAGGTCCCTGATATATTTTTCATACAAGATCAAAATAATACTGGTATTGTTGTTGAGTGTTTTTGAGTCAGTTCCGAGCCATAGCTACCTGTATAAGGTTTCTGAGAAGCAGCTGGTGAGCTTGAACCGTCGACCTTGCGTTCAAAACAACTTTGTGGTCCAGTGTATTAACCCGTAGCACCATATCAACAGTGAATACAGGGTTTAGATAGCAGCACTTTTAAAAAGATGAATCCACAGTGAGAACTCAAATTGAAACCCCTAGTTTCAATTTTACTTTAATAATGAATGTTTGTCTTCTCTCTCTCTCTGTTTCAATTCAGTTCCTAAATTTGAAAGACTGTCTTTTTCTGTAATATAGGAAGACCTGCAAGGCTACCGTGTGCTCTTGAAAACAGGAACTATGCTTCATTTCTATTTTATTCCCCAGATTCCACAACAATGTCGGTTACACATCGTTCAAAGCGAATTTAGTACCTGGAACCCACTGAATGTGTCCAGGTAAACATTAACCCCAAGGAGAATTCTGGGCGACAGGGCTGGCTCGGCACAGCACGTTTCACTTGGCCATTCAAGGCAGCGGAATGGGGGGTGGAGGTTTCCAGCAGCACATGGGCACAATTCTGATGAAATCTTTATTTGGATTGGAAAGCATTTTCGCATTTTTCCTTTTCCGAGAAACCACGAACTTTACGAAACATGCTTTAAAGGCACGGCCGACCTTCCCAGGCTCTACAGAGTCCACAGGGCCCTTTGGAGCACTACTTAGTGGGGAGGCTGAAGTCTGCTTCGGTCTTTCCCGCTAGTTCCCTCTACGGAGCTACCCATCCGCGGACCGCCTCCCGGCCGCACACCACTAAGTGCGGAGGACTCACGTCGTCTCCATCCTTCCTGGGAGGGGAGCCCCAACCCGGCCTTCTTCCCAGCCTCCCGGCAAGCTTGTTCCCACCCCGAGCCCTACAGAGTTCTCTGGATTGGCTCCAGCACCAGGCAAAGGCGCGCCCTGATTGGCTGCAAAATAAGCACCGCGCGGGGACAGGCTGCGCTTGGGCCCCGCTTGGAGCTGTGATCGCCCGCGCACAGCGCGTGGGGGGGTCGCAGTGTGTGCGGGCCGGGGTGTCGCTGCTGCGGTTCGGAGCACACTCGGCGCTCTGCAGGGCGGGGAAAGGATCGGCCTAGGGGTTGGGGTTAGTCGCCGGGAGGGCCTCAGGCCCCGGCTGGTGCCTTCTCGCGGGCACAGGGCCGGGGAGGAAGAAGGCGCCAGAGCCCCGAGGATATGGAGCGGGTGGACAGTGAAGATGAGGCAATAGAGGGCCAGGGGCGCCCGCACGCGAATGGATATCTCCGGGTCCTGGTGGACACTCCCATTCCGGAGCTGAGTGCGGAGCAGCGGAACGAACCCAAAACCAACTGCCTGACCTTGAACGGGGTCCCGCAGGACAACCCCGGAGCCACCTTGGAAGCCCTGGGCGGGATGCAGACTCCGCTGGCCCCGGAGGAGGAGGAGGAGACTGAGGCCCGGCTGTTGCCCACGGTCCCGGGTGAACAGATCTCGGGGGCCGAGGACACCCACGCGCCCAGGATAGCGCTCTCCGCTAGGCGCTTCGTGGTGCTCCTGATCTTCAGCCTGTACTCGCTGGTGAACGCCTTTCAGTGGATCCAGTACAGCATCATTACCAATGTCTTCGAGGACTTCTACGGAGTGTCCTCGCTGCACATCGACTGGCTGTCCATGGTGTACATGCTGGCCTACGTACCCCTCATCTTCCCAGCCACCTGGCTGCTGGATACCAGAGGCCTACGACTCACCGCTCTGCTGGGCTCTGGCCTCAACAGTCTGGGCGCTTGGGTCAAGTGCGGCAGCGTGCAGCAGCATCTCTTCTGGGTCACCATGCTGGGCCAGTGTCTGTGCTCTGTGGCCCAGGTATTCATCCTGGGCTTGCCCTCTCGCATTGCCTCAGTGTGGTTTGGGCCAAAGGAGGTGTCTACGGCTTGTGCCGCCGCTGTGCTGGGCAATCAGGTAAGGATTGGGGTGATAGATGAAAATGAGATCCTTAAAGGACTAGGAAAAGTTACAGGCCTTGTGATCTAGACATATGGATGGCTGCTCAGGGTACATTTGTCTTATAAATGAAGGAGAGATAAGTAGTCACAAGATATGAGACAGTCTGGAGTCCTAGTGTGGAGCTGTAGGATAAGCACTGAACTGGTAACCGCAAGGTTGTCAGTTCAGACTTACCAGTTGCTCTTTGAAACCCTATACAGGTTGCTTTGAATTAGAACCCAATCCACTGCATTTAACAACAATGAAGCAGTCCTGGATTAAGGATACTTTTTAAATGCTTTATAAGGACACTTTTTACTAAATTAGAAGGAAACCTGGTATCGGAGTGGTTTAGGAGCTGAGCTGCTAACAGCAAGGTCAGTAAATCGAATCTACCAGTTGCTCCAGGCTTTCTGCTCCTGTAAAGATTTATAGCCTCGGAAGCCTTATACAGGGTCATTAGGAGTTGGAGTGCTTGTATAGCACTGGGGATTAATACGCTGGACTGCACAGTCGGTTTGAACTGCAAAGTCATGTTTCAGGCTCACCAGCCGCTCCTTGGAAAACCTGAGTTGGAACCGCCTCAGTAACACACAACCACCACCATCATTTACTAGATCAGAGTCCTGGTTTGTGGTGCTGTAGGATAAGCACTGGACTACTAGCCATAAGGTTGGTGGCTCAAACCAGCCGCTCCTCCAGAACCCTATACAGGGTCACTATGAGTCCACTACTCCACTACACGTAACATTTACTAAATCAGTCTAACATGACCACCTCCACATCTTGCATTTAAAACTACCTATGAAATAAGTACCTATTGACTTGTATGCCTAACATCATAAATGGCTTGCTAATGCAATAATAGTGAAACTTGGGTAATATTTTTCAGCAGCGTATTCTTTGTAAAAGGAAGGTGTTGGATTCTGGGTGTTGTTGTGAGCAGCCCGTTTAAAAATATATTATGGTCAGCACAGTGGCTATAACATAATGGACAGTTGTAAATATTTTAGTGATTCAGTCTTTTTCATTTTTGTATTTTGTTGCTTCAACCTATTCAACCATGGCAGCAGCAATAAATGGTCTCAATTGTAGCAATGATTGTGGGGTTGGCGCAGTACCAGGCAGTGTTTCATTCTGTTGTGCATAAGGTGGCTATGAATCAGTACTGACTTGATGGTACCTAGCAACAACAATGGGCAGGCTTTGGTAAAAAATAAAGACAAAAAAAAAACAAACTCACAATAACTTTACAGAAAGTATTGTACAACAATGTCCATCAATACAATGAAAGATTATAGGAACGTTGAAAATCCTCAGTGAGAAAATTAACTGTACAATTTCATAGTTCTTTATTTTAAATAAAATTGCTTCCATAAATATTTAAAATACTTCCTGGGGACTCTAGACTCATGGAAAGAGAAAGACTGTGTGCTGTCCGCCAGAAAGCAGGCTTGCAGAATGTACCCTTTGGTTGTTTAAATGATATTTATATATTCCTGAGGGTTTTTGTGTACATTCCCCCCACCCCCAAAAAAACCCCCAGAGAATAGAAGCAAAAATACTGTTCAGTGATGATGCACAAAGGAGATTGTAATCATTGCAATGAAATGATGAGTGTAAAACCGATGTTCTTCCATGTAAACTTAACACTCAATTCAACAATAAGAATTTACAAAAAATCCTTTCTGGGTTCTTATTAAATATTGACATTTGTATTTCAATCAGTATGTTCAGTTTGAAAGTATGTTGTTGTTAAAGTGCCGTTAAGTTGGTTCCAACCCATGGCGAGCCTGTATAGGGTTTCCAAGGAACTGATGGTGAATTTGAACCTCTGACCTTGTAGTTCAAAATGACTTTGCAGTTCAGTGCATTAACCCACAGCTCCACACCAGGACTCCAAAATGTTTTTAAATTACTATTTAAATAAAAAATCAACACTTAAAATAATGTTTTCTTTGCCCACCGTAGCATCAGGTCCCTTTCCGCAGTGCTGCTTACGTCCCATAAAACTAGAGAGAAGTAAGTGAAATAGAAACCAGTATGGGTTTCAGTCAGTAGTCTTCACAGCGTTCCTTGGTCCAATGACCAATATTTAACAGGAAAACAATGGAAAAGAATCTAGTTTGAATTCGGTACACCATAAATTCCACCTCTTTACTGGCAGTTCAAATCCACGCAGAGGTCACAGCCCTGAAAACCCTATGAAGTAGTTCTACTCAGCACACATAGTGTCGCCATGAATGGGATAGACATAAGGCAACTAACAAACCTGTACATATAAAACAACATACAGTTACATAAGGAAAGAACGTTACTCTCTTACTTCAGGCCTGCCACTTGTTTCAAGATAAGTAAGATTTATATAAAATACAGAACAACAACAAAAAACAAACAAACCCACTGCTGTTAAGTAGATTCCAGCTCCTAGAGACCTTGCCGGACAGAGGGCTTTTGAGGCTATAATTCTCTATGTAAGTAGACTGTCTCATCTATCTCCCACAGAGCTACTATTGGGTTCAAACCACCAAACAGCAGAATGATTTAACCATTGTATCACCAGGGCTTCTTCAAAATACAAAAACCTAAATCCATTGCCATTGAGTCAATTGCAAATCATAAGGAACCTGTATAGGATTTCCAAAGCTGTAAATCTTGATGAGAACAGAAAGCCTCATTTTTCTACCTTGGAGTGAGTGGTTGGTGGGTTTGAACTGCTGACCTTGCAGTTATGAGCTGAGTACTTTATCCACTGTATCACCAGAGCACTTTAAAATACATAAAAGACTAAATCTGCTTGCATACTGCTTTACATTTACTTTTTTTCTGTGAAATTGTAGAAGAGATAGCTTGAACCATGGTTATTGTGCATTCAAAACAAGTTGATATCTGAGTTGTTTGATTATTCATGTTTGGGTAGAAACTGTTTTCTGAAAGTATTTGACATTTACAAAAATCTGTTCAAGATGGACACTTTGTTGAGCATGGCAGCATTGTTATCAACTCCATATCTAAGGATTATCAGTGTTGTGGATAATACATGAAACTTTTTTCATAGGCAGAATTCCCTCTAACACTCAGCACACTTCTGGGATACTTTCTCCCAAGGAGTTTTCATCCCTTTCTTGATTTATGACTTTCAAGTCTGCATTATGGAGTACCTAGATTATGGGGTGATCATTAATAATAAAATTCATTCTTATTGAGCAATCACTAAGAGCCTGGCAGTGTGTCATTTTAATGTGGTAAGGTGAGAATTATTGTTGTTAAGTGCCCTCAAGTCAGTTTTGACTCATAACGACCCTGTATAGTGTTTCTAAGGAGCAGCTGGTGGATTAGAACTGCCTGGTAGCATAGTGGTTATGAATCGGGCTGTGAACTGCAAGGTCAGCAGTTCGAAACTACCAGCCGCTCTGCGGGAGAAAGATGAGGCTTTCTGCTCGTGTAAAGATTTACAGCCTCGAAAACCCTGTACAGGGTCGCTATGGGTCGGAACCGACTCGACGGCACTTAACAACAACAACAACAACCTTGTGGTTATCAATCAAGGGCTTATCCTTTTATAAGTAAAGAACTTTTATTTAGGTAAGGAAACAGACTTGGAGAGACGAAGTTATTTTTCCAAAGACAAAATGCTAGTTAGTAGCAGCATTCACATTCAAGTCTGTGTGATTCCCGAATCCTGTCATTTGTCTACCAACCTCTCCTGCCATGTCTCTAATCTGAAGAACCTTTAAAAACAGATCAGATCACCACACTGCTTTGAACTTGCCTATTGGCTTCCCAGAGCACTTAAAGCCTAAATTTGTTACTCTGGTTTATAAAACCTTACTAATATAAGTAAGGGTTCATTGTTGATGGATTGGCAGACTGGCGGCATCAATGGACTCAGCATGGCAACAATTGTGAGGTTGGCCCAGAATCGGGCAGTGTTTCGTTCTGTTGTGCATAGGGTCGCTATAAGTAGGAATTGACTCAGTGGCACCTAACAACAACAACAACTAGTTGGTTCCAACTCACAGCAACCCTATATAGGGTTTCTGAGAATTTAAATCTTTGCATGAGCAGAAAGCCTCATCTTTCACTTGAAGAGTGGCTGGCAGGTTTGAACCGCAGACTTTATGGTTCGTAGTCCAGTGCTTATTGTATGGAGGCACTGAGCACAAAACTTATCCCTGATTAAGGACCTTTACCAAAGCACTCCTTGTGCCTGGAATGTTCTTCCTTGGTTTTCATGATTACTTCCCTGCTGTTCTTCAGCTCTCAGCTTCAATTTATTTTAAATGTCATTCGGTGGCATTTCTTGACAAACCCATTTAGAGTTACCAGGTGTGGCGCTGTGGGCTAATGTGCTAAACTGCACCTTGAACATCAAGGTCGGTGAATCAAGCTCACCAGCTGCTCCTCAGAAATCATATACAGGTTTGCTATATGTTGGAATCGACTGGAAGGCACTTAACAACAATTCCCCATATAGTACTTCTTACTCTCTGATATGTTTATCGTTCATGTGTGTGTTTTATATGTTTTTGTCATTTATTGTTGTTGTTGCTAAGTGCCGTTGAGTTGATTCTGACCCATAGCCACCCTGTATAGGGTTTCCAAGGAGAAACTGATGAGCGTGAACCACTGACCTTGCAGTTCAACAGCAGTATGTTGTTGTTGTTATGTGCCGTGGAGTCGGTTCCGACTCATAGCGACCCTGCACAGGGTTTCCGAGGCTGTTAATCTTTACGGGAGCAGAACGCCTCATCTTTCTCCCGCGGAACCGCTGGTAGTTTCGAACTGCTGACCTTATGGTTCGCAGCCCGATTCGTAACCACTACGCTACCAGAGCTCCTGAGGGTTCAAATTTTCCCTCATCTCACCAACACTTGCTGTTTTTCATTTTTACATTAGAAGAATTCTGTTGTGGCACTATAGGATAAAGCACTGGACCACAAGGTCTGTTTGAACCTCAAGGTTGACGGTTCAAACTCACCAGCCACTCCTCAGAAATGCTATGCAGAGTCACTATGAGTTGGAACCAACTCTAGGGCACCTCACACCAGGGGGTATAAGGAGACCTGATGGCACAGTGGTTAAGTCACACAGCGGGAACAAGATGTAGCATTCCGCTTCTGTAAAGATTACAGCCTTGAAACCCTATGGGGTTGTTCTCCTCTGTCATAGTCATATAGAATTGCTTTTAGTTAGAATCAATTCAACACCACAACAGTGAGTATAAGTGGTATCTCATTGTGGGTTTGGTTTGCTTACCCTAATGACTAATGACTGGTGAGCATCTTTTCATATGTTGTTTTGGCAATTCATATAGCTTTAGTAGCATAGTGGTTACAAATCGGGCTGCTAATCTCACAGTTTGCAGTTCGAAACTATCAGCTGTTCCGCAGGAGAAAGATGAGGCTTTCTGCTCCCACAAAGATTTATAGCCTCGGAAACCCTGGGCAGGGTCGCTATGGGTTAGAACCGACCCCACGGCACACAACAACATAGCTTTAGTGGTGGTGGTGGTGGTGGTTACGTGCCATGGAGTCAGTTTCAACTCATAGTGACCCTGTATAGGGTTTACCAGCTGTAAATCTTTATGGGAGCAGAAAGCCTCATCTTTCTTCTTCAGAGCACCTGGTAGATTCGAACTACTGACCTAGCAGTTAACAGCCTAACTCAGAACCCACTGTGCTATCAGAGCCCCTAATCTCCATGTGGAGAACTACTAAAATTCTTTGTGCATTTTTTAAACTGGATTGTCATTTGTAGGTTGAATTGTTGTTAAGCACCGTCAAGTCAGTTCCAACTCATAACAAACCTGTATAGGATTTCCGAGGAGCAACTGGTAGATTTGAACTGCTGACCAGCAGTCCAGGGCTGATCCTACAGCACCACAGAGTTTTTTATGTAGTCTGTATACCAGATCCTCATCAGATATTTTTCTCCCTTTCTGTTTTGTCTTTTCTCAGCCTTATTTTTCATATATTCTCCTCTTTGATTGGAAGCATTTAAGGGTAAAGATTCTAGCATACACCTCTTGATAACAGTATCATTCAGGAGTTCCATAGTTGTGTGTTGACTTGGAAAGACAGTTCTTAGAAATTTCCCTTTAACAGTTCAATAGTAGCAAAGACATTAGATAGAGCATAATGGAGTAAGTTTACAAAGCTCCTTTACATACATCACAGCTATCCACTAATGTCCTATTATTTGCCATGTTGCTTCTTTTTTTTTTTTTCTTCTTAGGATAATTGTTATTAACAGGACTGTTTATTTTACAGCTTGGAACTGCTGTTGGCTTTTTGCTACCACCAGTTTTAGTGCCCAACACAAAGAATAACACAGAACTCCTGGCTTGCAATATCAGCACTATGTTTTATGGTACATCAGCTGTCTCCACACTTTTATTCATTTTAACAGTAATTGGTAAGCAAATTATTTTCACTAAAGCTTAAATAAATATGTGACAAAAATATGAAAGTAAGCAATGTTGAAAATTTTTATTGATAATGTTTCAAATACTATTTGCTATGCCCTGTCTTGCTCTGGTGATGAATGTCTTACAACCTTAGGAATATGCTATGCCTTGTTACATCTATTGTAGTATCATGAAGAGTTTAAAGAGGAAGTCTTCTCATTTATCTCCCTACTGACTCATCTCCTTGGTAACTGTCAGCTTCAAGCATATTATGTGCCTCCTCTTTTCCATATCTCTAGATGTTCTGCATCTTATGCTAACATAGGTGTTTGTGGGTGGCACAGTTGGTGGTTTGAATCCCCCCAGAGATGTTTCTGAAGATAGTCCTGCTGATCTGCTTATGAAAGGTCACAGCCATGAAAAGCCCATGGAGCGGTTCTACTCTGTATACATTGGGTCCTCATGAGTCAGAATCAACTTGGCAACTATAGACAGATGCTAACCTAGCCAGGGACAAGTTCTTGGCATGCTTTGAAATGATGCAAATAGGCTGCAACCTTGCTTTTAATGATCAATCCTTCCAAGAATAACCAATTTAAGTAAAAATGATCTTGGGCACCAGCAAGCTGTTCTGCAGATTTTCAAACTGGTAACTGTCTGCTTGTTAGGCCACTCCAGCAAAAGCCCTGCTGCCACCATTCGCCACTGAGTCCTCTAGCCTGGGCCTGTCTCTTGAAGCAGTCAGTCAAAACCAACTGCAAGCAGTCAACATCCACTTGGAAGAAGCTTTGGGAAGGTCTGCTGTTTAAGTTTATTTTTCATGAGCAACAGTTTTATGGTTTCAGTGAAAGGGCTAATAAGGTGTATTTAAGTAATACAGCCACTAAAATCACTGTAGAATTGCACTTTAGACACTCAATAGATCTTAAATTGATCTGAAGAGAAAGGAGTGATAAAGGTGAAAAGGCTATCTTATTATTATTATTATTGTGAATTGAGTGAAGGCTCACAGACAAGAGCATCAACTTTACATTCAACCAATCACACGTTTGATTTTATCTTCATGATTATACTCCCCTCCATGCAGCAGCAGTTAATCCTTCTTCCTCCCTGTGGCTTCCCTTTTACATTTTATTTTTCACAAATCAACAAAGCAAAAATATTTGATGTACACGGACATTCAAGCTTTATAATCACCATTATGAAAGCCCCAAAGATTTCAAAGAATGTGTACTGAAAGCTGTAGAGAGGTTTCAACAGAAAGTGCTTTGCAGATGAACCAGAGGAGATACACATAGAAAGCCAGATGCTTACGTTGTCATAACAACAGAATGTTCTTTCTGTAGCATATCAGGTATTCTGATATGTCCGATTATTTGTGGTTTTTTTTGTTTTGTTTTCAGTCAGGAAGTGTTGTATTTGTGGTATGCAGGCTACTTAAAAAGACAAATTATTCCTAAACTATTTTAACAAGTTAAGAAAGTTCTTAGAAAACTTTTTATCTGTTTTTATGATAGCCATATTTGATTTACTATATAAAATATGAGATACAAGTTATATGCATTTTGTATAAATGAACCTTCCAGTGATGATTATTGTTGTTAAGTGCCATGAGTCAGTTCTGACTCATAGCAACCATGTATGGGTTTCTGAGGAGCAGCTGGTGGGTTTAAACTACTGGTAGCGTAGTGGTTACGAATCGGGCTGCGAACCTTAAGGTCAGCGGTTCGAAACTACCGGCCGCTCCGCGGGAGAAAGATGAGGCTTTCTACTCCTGTAAGGATTTACACCCTCGGAAACCCTGTACAGGGTCGCTATGGGTCGGAACCGACTCGACGGCACTTAACAACAACAACAACAACCTTGTAGTTAGCAGTCCAGTGCTTATCTTAAAGTGCCACACCAGGGCTCCATTGATCGTAAGAATTTAAAGTATGAAACACTCTTTGCTTTGAATCCTTATATATATCTTTGCATAGATTCTGATTTGTTTTTTAAACCACCTTCAATTGCTTGTTTTTGGGGGAGAAGTAAGAGGAATAGATTGTATATCTGTTGTTGCTGTTATGTGCCTTTGGGTTAGTTCCAACAAATATATATATATGAACTTCAAAAGTTCATGGAAAATGGAATCAAAAGGTAATTTTTTTCCATGAACTTTTTGATGCCTCCTCATGTGATACATCTGTATTGTTGTTGTTGTTGTTGTTATTGTTGCAGGAGAAAGATGAGGCTTTCTGCTCCTTCAATGATTTTAGCCTCGGAAACCCTATACAGAGTCACTATGAGTCACAGCAGAGTCTGTGGCCTTCAGAACAAGAACATTGCTGTTGTATTTGAAAGCTTCTGTGTGCAGCAAATGTATCTATAAGTACTAAAATTTGTACTGTTCTCATTTATTAAAGTGAATGGGTAACAAATGAATACATTTATCATACCAAATAGTAATGGCAATCAAATATTTAACATCCATGTATGTAAACATGAGTGTGTAACATGCATAGATAATTTTACTTTTGAGTCTTGTGTAGCAAGATATGGTTTGTTGTTGTGAAGTGCCATTGCACTGATTCTGACCCATAGTGACCCTGTATAGAGTTTCCGAGGAGCAGCTGGTGAGCTTGAACTGCCAACCTTGCAGTTCAAACAGCTTTGCAGTCTGGTGCATTAACCCACAGCGCAACACCAGGACTCCAAGATATGGTTTGGTGGTGGCTGTGTGCCGTGGAGTCAGTCCTGTAAATCTTTCTCCCAAGATACGGTTTAGAGACTGTGAATGTAAACTTTTAAGGAGCTCTGGTAGTGTAGTGGTTACGAATCAGGCTGCTAACCTCAAGGTTGGCAGTTTGAAACTACCAGCCGTTCTTTGGTAGAAAGATGAGGCTTTCTGCTCTTGTAAAGATTTACAGCCTCAGAAATCCTGGGCAGGGTCACCGTGAGTCAGAACTGACTCCATGGAACTTAACAATAACAACAACAATATAAACTTTTGGAGTCCTGGTATGGTGTTGTAGGATAAACACTAGGCTACAAGGTCGGTTTGAACCTCAAGGTTGGCAGTTCAAACCCACCAGCCACTCCTTGAAAAGCCTATACAAGGTGGCTGTGAATCAGAACCAACTTGACAGCACTTAACAACAACAATGTAAACTATAAACAAAATGCATTTTACTTAGTCTACAAGAAGTTCCAAACCCCTGAGACAAACTCCGTGATTTCAAGTAAATATTCTTTAGAAAAATATAGTTTATTTCGTATTTGTTGTTCTTGATAAGTGCCATCCAATTTTTTCTAACTCATAGCAAACCCTGTCTAGGGCTTCCAAGGAGTGGCTGGTGGGTTTCAGCTGCCAATCTTGAGGTTAGTAGTCTACTGTGTATCCTTTAGCATCACACGGAGATTCCATATTTTGCAAGTTGTTGTTAAGTGCCGTAGAGTTATTTCTGACTTACAGCGACCCATCCCTATAGGGTTTTTAAGGATTGGCTGGTGAGTTTGAACCACTGGACCCTGGTTCCAGTGCATTATCTTACAGTGCCATGCATGTTGTTGTTGTTGTTGTTAGGTGCCATCGAGTCAGTACCGACTCATAGTGACCTTATGCACAACAGAATGAAACACTGTCCGATCCTGGGTCATCCTCACTATTGTTGCCACTCTTGAGTCCATCGATGCTGCCACTTGACCAATCCATCTCGTTGGGGGTCTTCCTCTTTTTCTCTGACCCTCCACCTTACCAAACATGATATCCTTCTCCAGTGACTAATCCCTCTAGACAATAGTCCGAAGTATGAGAGACGAAGTTTGGCCATCTTGGCCTCCAAGGAGCACTCTGGCTACACTTCTTCCAAAACAGACCTGGTGGTTCTTTTGGCAGCCCATGGCACTTTCAATATTCTCCTCCAACACCATAACTCACAGGCATCAATTCTTCTACAGTCTTCCTTATTCACTGTCCAGCTTTCTCATGCATACGAGGTTATTGAAAATACCAAGACTTGGTCAGGCGCACCTTAGTCCTCAAGCTGACATCTTTGCTCTTCAACACTTTAAAAAGGACTTGTGCAGCAGATTTGCCTAATGCAATACGTCATTTGATTTCTTGACTGCTGCTTCCGTGAGTGTTGATAGTTGATCCGAGAAGAATGAAGCCCTTGACAACTTAGCACCTGATAATTACACATTTTTTTATATGAATGTGTCGCTTTGGATGCCACCTGCATAGCTATAGTTCTTTCTCTGAACCTGGCCACCCAGAAGTAGGTAAGAACTCACCAGTTGAAAGGACACTGCCCTCTCGACAGCCAAATAGGCAGTCACCAGCTGCAAGTTGGGGAGCCCTCCTGACACTCTCACTTCTGACCTATTGGCTCTCACCACTCCTTGGGTTTTGAAATTTCACTGGAATGATTCATAGAACTCTATAAGTTCTGTGCTTGCAAGTGTAGTTTTATTATAAGAAAAAACAAAAACAAATTGGAGAGAAATATAGACTAAGTTCTGGGAGGATTCCCAGCATTCCATAGACCTCACTATCCTCCCACATCCATCAATGTCTTTCACTAACCAGGAAGTCCAGGGACCTTCCATGTCCAGAGCCTTTATTGGCTTCCTTATGTAATCATGATTAATTGGTTCAGCCCCACAACTTCCCCTGAAGTTAGCTGATACCAGACCAAGTGATACCATTCCAGACACTGCCTTTTAGCACAAATCCTCAGGCACAATTTAGATAACAAAGGCACTTTAAATACTCAATAATTCCAAAGGTTTGAGAGTTATCACAGTAATCAGGAACAAAGGCCAAATTCTTTAGGGTAAAATAAATCTTTACCCCACAATGTAGTATTACATCATGCAGTCCTCATAAAAATTATTTCCATCTTAGAATGTGGGAATAGTGTAGAAACTTATTTAAAGTCATAAAATGAGATGGGACACAGCCAGGATTCAAATCTATATTTTCCTTATAATAATATGTGCAATACCTGTTTTAATTACACAGAGACAAATGATGAAATTGAAACAGTGTTATACGATTTCAAAGAGTAATGTGATCCCAACCAGCAACTGATTTCCTACTTACTCATCTTGGGAAGAAAAGTTTAATTGTGTTGCCCAAGAATCCTTTGGCTTGATATGCCTAATGCCAGGGATAGAGAAATAAGTGCTTTAAGAGAAGACAAGGGTAGAAAGGACCAATTGTTTTTAGTTTCAAAGGAGAAAGAAAACAGCGTTCCATCTCTTTAGCAGTGCAGATTAAGCAAAGTCATAGATTGGTGACCTTTTATAGGTTTTCTTTCTCTTCATATGTTGTTAAAGTGCCATCGAATCGGTTCCCACTCATAGGTGCCTGTATAAGATTTACAAGGAGTGCCTGGTGAGTTTGAACCACAAACCTTTCAGGTAGTAGTCCAGTGCTTATACTACATGCCACACCAGGACTCTTGTCTTCATATAGACAATCAAAAACCTAAATATGCAGAGAAACACCAAAAATTAGTGTGTTGTTGTTAAGTGTACCAGAATTTATTTCTTGTGAGTAGATATGAATCAGGCATTTCAACTTGAGCATACCTGAGGGCCCATCTAAGCGAGGATAGTGAAAATGACAGGTTACTTTCTCAAGAGACAGTATCAGAACATGCACAGGGTTCTAGGGTCAGTGATGGTAGAAGTAGAATCACTGTGGACACACCATACATTTTCTAGTCAGGTCCCTGGGGTTCCTGCCCCTCAAAACACAGATAATTTTAAGAGCCTAGTGCTTGAGGCAAGATGATTGCCACAGTTTATTAAACTATCATTGACTTGAAGATGACTTTAGGAAAAGAGTTCAAAAAGATACCTAACGGCAGATGGCCGCAGTGTCTTGCCCTAGCACTATGGACCTGGAAAGCTGCATTCTCAGAGAATTAAAATTGTTTCTCAAGACTTACACCCCACTTTGCTACAGCATAAGTCTGGGCTTGTCCAAGAGGGCAGTAGACTACTTGAGGCTAAAACATAAGTTAACACTTATGTTTTAGTGTTAACTAAAATAAATCTAATGGAATTGAGATTAAGAAAAATTGTTTTGATTTTTGCATTGGTCACTTAGTCTTTTTTTCTTTTTTAATGTAGTAAGTAACAACTTTAGTAAGAGCCCTGTTGTTGTTAAGTGCTGTCAAGACTGTCCCGATTTATAGTGACCCTGTATAGAATGGCTGGTGGGTTTGAACCATTGACCTTGAGGTTGACAGCCTAGTGCTCATTCTGAAGGACCCAAGTAAGAGCGCTGTTGTTATTTTTAAGTGCCTTCAAGTGGGTTCTAACTCATAGCCGTTCCATATAGGGTTTCTGAGGAGTGACTGGTGGGTTTGAACTGCTGACCTGTGATCAGGTGTTTTTTCTACAACGCCATAGCAGGACTTTTAGTAAGAGGCCTTTGTTGTTAAGTGCTGTCAAGTCCATTCCAATGCACAGCGGCCCTGTATAGGGTTTCCAAGGAGCAGCTGGTAGGTTTGAACTGCCAATCTTGTAGTTCTCAGACCAGTGCTGATCCTATAGCACTACAACATGAGTCCTAAAATTCAGTAAATGCCCCAGACTTCCTTGTAAGCATACTTTTTACATTCTGAAATTTTGTTTTACAGTTGTGTGAGTTCTGTATCACCGTGACAATAAAAAAAGATAGCTCCTATCTAACAAAGCTACAGGAAAGGACAGAGATCTCAGCAGTGCAAGGAGCAGATAGAACAAAACGGAAGAGGAGGAATTACAATGATTTAAACATTTTATGTCTACTGCAAAGATATTCAAAAAGCAAATATTTGTGAGTTGTGTATCTCTTGAATTAATTGTAGCATCTGTAAAAATAGAAACATGTTATGGTTTTAGAAATTATAGTATAATGTAGTCAGCAAAGAACTTTAAACAAAAAAACTTTCAGCAGCATCACAGAAGAACCAGGGAATCCTGTGATTCTCAAAGTTACTGGAATGGATAACATTTAGGGTATTTTGTGTTTAAATCCAGATTTCTTAGGTTCTATCCTGGAGGTTCTGATTCATTAAGTCTTCTGTAGAATCCCAAAACCTGTAATATTTTTTAAACTCTCACATGATTCCTATGGGCATCCAAATCTAGCTCATGCTCAAACTCTAAAGCAAACTCCTTGTTGGAAGAAAGAAAATTAAGAGAGACAGAATCAATCTAGTTGTCCAAAGCTATTGTTTTTTTCTCAACTCATTTTCCTTCATTTTTGCTTTTTGAATTTACCATGTTCACAGATTCTGAAGTGCACATTTTAGAAATTTTTTTAAGTATACACATTTAGAAAGTATACATATCAGTTGAGGTGCCATTAATTAATAATCAGTGGCATCTAACATTTGTGGCAATTGAGACATCATTATATGAAATCCATTGAGTGCCTGCATGGGAATGTCTTAGAGTTAGTAAAATATAGTATCTTGACTTTATCTTTCTTTAAAAAATAGAGTCAATGCTACATGCAAGATTTTAATTTCCGTCCCACCAAATTTTAACTGTTGAATTCTTCTATCTGGTATCGTTGTTAGGTGTCGGTGAGTCAGTTTCCACTCATAGTAACCCTGTATGGGATTTGTTGTTGTAGTTCTTAACTACCGTCGAGTCGGTTCCGACCCATAATGACCCTGAACAGGGTTCCCAAAGCTGTAAATCTTCATGGGAACAGAAAGCCTCATCTTTCTCCTGCAGAGCAGTTGGTAGTTTCGAACTGCTGATCTTGCGGTTTGCAGCCCAATTCATAACCACTACGCTACCAGAGCTCAGGGTGTAAATCTTGACGGGAAGAAAGTCTCATCTTTCTTCTGAGGAGCAATTGATGTGCTTGAACTGCTGACCTTGTGGTTAGTAGTCCAGTGCTTATCCTATAATGCATGTCCTACAGAAATCTCTCCCTAACTATCTGCTGCAGGAAGTGGATAGCTCTATAAAATGATGGTCTCAAAATGTCTGGATGAGAAGATTGTGAAATCTACGTCTTAACTCCACAGAAGTGGACAAGGCTAAAATCAAGAGTATCAAAAACCATATACACTATGCCTTTATGTTTCTCACCCTACTGGTTCCATATGCAGTCAGAGTGAATCAGCAAGCAAGATCTAGCTCTGCTCCCAGGAGGTCACCCTGAGCTTTTCAGTTCTCAAAGTATAATTGGACCAGATGATGAACTTGAATTGAACTCTTCAAATTTCAGAAGAAAACTGTTACTAACTCAAAACAATCCTCTAATAGTTCAATAATTTATTAGCTTGCTCGTATCTGATACTTCTCATTAAAATTTGAAATGAAATTTAGAGGTGGAATTGTTGAACACTTAATATAATAAAAATTAAATTTTGTTGTAGGATAAGCACTAGACCACAAGGTCAATTTCAACTGCAAAATGGTGGTTCAAACCCACCGGCTGCTCCTTAGAAACCCTATACAGGGACGCTATGAGTTGGAACTGATTCAATGACACTTAAAAATAACAACAACCAGAAATGAAATAATCAGTGGGCAAGGTCATGACTTTCCAGTTCACTTGTGTAAATTGGCCAGATCTCTGAGTTTTAGTCAGCTTCAGAAGGCTGAGGTAATAATTCCAAATTTAGAGAGTCCAGACCCTTTCCCCCAAGGGGCCCAGTGGTAGGAGTCAGGGAAGTGGCATCATTTAGAGAAGTATGTCTCTGGCCTCAGGGTGTAAGTGAGTGTGCGGCTGAAGAGCAGGAGGGCGGAACCCCGTGCTGCTGGAGGAGCAGCAGCTGCAGCAGGTCAGGGTTCTTAGCTGGGGACCCCAGCAGGAGCACCCGAACCCAGCCTGCAGTACAGACCTGGGGGAGGAGGGAGCCCATACAGGCTGCTACAGCTGCCGGATTTGGGAGAAGGCTCCTAGAAACACTGGCGGGAGCTCAAAAACTGATGGGAACAGTGAGAACAGTATTGGGAGAGCATCAGACCCCTCAACCAGGAGGCAGTGGTCTTGGGAGCTGTCCCTGAGCATTGGGAGAAACTGGAGCTGGTAGGGGGCTGGAGAAGACCTGGCCCATAGGGCCTCAGAGGCCCAAAGGGGAAGGACGCCTAGGAGTGTTGTTGTTAAGTGCCATTGAGCTGGTACCTACTTATAGAGACACTGTATAGAGTTTCCGAGGAACAGCTGGTTTGGTTGCAATTCAAACAACCTTGCTGTTCAGGCTTATCCTACAGTGCCATACCAGGAAGTAAGTTGGCTGCCTGGTGACAGGCAAAGACTGTTTAGGTTCTCCAGGATACTCTCCTTGAGGGAAAGGGATCCTAGGAAGGAGAGGGGACCTCATGGGCCAAAGGACCGAGAGGAGAAGGTGGCAATTCCAGGGCTGAGGGATTGCAGAATGTAAGGTTTGAGGGTAGGGTAGTAGAAGAGTGCCATGTACATGGAAGAGTTGGAAGCCACTGTCCCATGGCAGGCTTTGGCCGACAGGATCCTCTTCTGCCACCTCCACCTGGCCATCATCCAAATGTTCCTGTAGGTAAACTGCAGAAGGCAGAAGGTAAGGAAGTTGTGTAATTTTTGCATGATGCTGAGTTTTGCAAAATAGCTTGGTCTTTGGAGCATAGCCATGTTGATAAATGCAGAAGTGGGTGTATATAGATAAATGTATTTAATTGCCTTTTCATGTGTGTTCCCAGCATTCAAAGAAAAACCTCAGTATCCACCAAGTCAAGCTCAAGCAGCTCTCCTAGACAGTCCCCCTGAAGAGTACTCCTATAGGAAATCAATAAGGAACCTGTTTAAAAACATTCCATTTGTCCTTCTGCTGATCACTTATGGTAAGTCGTTTCCTTTTGATTTTTCACTGATAAGCTGTCCTTCTAAACCAGGGATGGGGAACATTTGACCCACAGGCTGTAAAGGCCAGTGAAATCATTTGATCTGGTCCTGCCGAGGCAATAGCATTTGCTTCCATTCCTTCTGTTTTATTTTAGATGTACACTGAAGCACTCAGGAATATAAAACCATACCCTGCAAGCCTACCCCCCGATCGTCAGCACACAGCCCCTCTCCCTCCTTGAGTCTAGGGTCCCCAGCCACTCCATCTCTCCATGTCATCATCTCTGCCTCCATCTCTTGTGTCGTAGATGTAAGATAGCAAAACATGTCTTCTTTTGTTCATTCTCAAGGAGTATTTTAGAACCTCTTTGAACCCTCATTGTGACTTCTATATGTGTATGGAAATATAATCAACAATTCCTTTTTTTACTTTGTGCAAACTGGCATCTAGTTTGACTACTGTAGCCAATCATGCCTTGACCAGAACTCTTACCCTCTTACCAGGATTGCTGCTACCTTTTTCAAAAAATGGAAATGTTCAGCACAAGAGTACAACATGTACTTTAATGATCCTATGTGCCTCCCACCAGCCACGCTCAACAGTTATCAACATTTTTACCGTTCTTGTTTCATTTAGTTTCCCTATTTTTTGAAAATCCTAGATGCTATATCATTTCATCCTTAAATATTTCAACATGCCAGAGTCACTTTTTTGAATTTTACTGGCTAGCTTAAATCTAAAACTTAGAACCAGGAAGTAGAGAAACTATAGTCGCTTTGTCATTGATTGGTAGAACCCATAGGTGAAAGCAGAAGAGAAGGTGGTAACTCCAGGAATGTCCCCTGAAAATATGTGTCAACTTGACTGGGTCATGATTCTCAAGGCCTTGGCAGTTATGCAACAATGATGTAGTTTGGCAGTTCCATAATGATGTAATTCATTTTCCAGGATGTGATCTGATGTAATTATCCTCTACGTGTGGTGTGATATGTTGTAAATTCTGACCTATGGGCTACTGTTAGGGACAGGATTAGAATGAATGCAGCATTCTTATTCAGGTCACAGCCCTGATCCAGTGTAAGGGAGGTTCCCAGGGGAGTGGTTTACATCACCTTTTATCTTACAAGAGATCAAAGGAGAGAAAAGTGACCAGAAAGAGAGGAACCTACTACCACCAAGAAAGAAGAGCCAAGAGTAGAGTGAGTTTTTTGGACACAGGGTCTCTGTGCTGAGATCCTCCTGACCCAGAGGAAGATTGCTGCACGACACATGGAAATTTCCAATGTATACCTAGCTGACAGAGAAAGAAAGCCTTTTCCCTAGAATTGGCACACTGAATTCAGACTTTTAACTTCCTAAACTGAGAGAATAACCTTGTTAAAGCCATCCACTTGTGGCATTTCTGATATAACAGCACTACTAAGCACTACTAGCTACTAAGAGAGCTTTCTGTATGTATTAGAGTAAATCTATTTCTTTAACCTGTCACTAGGTGGCTCTTTCCCTAACACTTTATTAGCTCTCCCTGCTTCCCAATACAAACTTCTCTTCAAGCTTATAGCCATCCCTCTGTCCCAGGCACACCTACTCAAGCCCAAGACATGCCTGTCTAGTCTAGTCGCTGTAATTTTGTACCATTGTTTTACCTAAATGGTCTCCTTCAATCTTCCTCAACCAGATTCATAAAACCTAGCATAAGGTTGTTCATTTGGAAGGTTATACAGCAGAGAAAATTAATGAACTAAGGTTTATACCCATAAATATTAGTTAGAATTGTTCAGCATAGATTTAAACTTCATATAAATGATATGTTATTTGTATCCATCTGCAACTTGCTGTTTTCATGGAACATTATAGTTTTGAGCTTTGCACCTGTTCATGTGTAGCTACCTCTGGTTCATTAGTATTCTCTGCTGTATAACCTTCCAAAGGAACAACCTTATGCTAACTCTTATAAGACTGATTGAGAAAAAGAGGAGAACATTTAAGAAAAAATAAATATGGAAATGGAGTCTTGGTGTGGTACTGTAGGATAAGCAGTGGGCTGATAACCAAAAGGTCGGGATTCAAACCCACACACCTCTCCTCAGAAACACTATACCGGTAGCTATGAGTTGGAACGGACTCAACAACAATATGGAGATTGATAGATGGATGGATGAATACCAACATGGGGAGAGGGTCTACCTCTGGGAAAGGAAGGAGAGAATTGAATTGGGAAAGGTCTTAAAAAACAGATCTGAAATAAATATGGAATAATTTTAATGACTGGCAAAGCTAAGAGATGAATTATGGGTATTTGTATATTATTCTCTATATCATTTTATATACCTGAAATATTTAATACTAAAGAGACTGAGAAATAGTAAACTTTAAGTCTCAGCTAGGTTTAGAGACTTACCTAAAAAATCAAACAATATATTTAAGAAAAAGCCAGTTTTTAAAGTATGATGGTTCCTGACATCTGTCTGTTTTAAACTACTCTTTAATTAGTATTGTCTTACTAAGTGCCTTAGAGTCTTGATGTGGCTCTGTAAGATAAGTGCAGGACTGCAATGTCGGTTTGAACCACAGGTTGGCAGTTCAAACTCACCACTTGCTCCTTGGAAACCCTATGTTGCTGTTGTTGTTAAGTGCCATCGAGTCAGTTCCGACCCATAGCGACCCTGTACAGGGTTTCCGAGGGTATAAATCTTTACGGGAGTAGAAAGCCTCATCTTTCTCCCACGGAGCAGCTGGTAGTTTCGAACCGCTGACCTTAAGGTTCACAGCCCGATTCGTAACCACTACGCTACCAGAGCTCCTTAGAGGGTCACAATGAGTCAGAACTGACTTGACAGCATTTAACAACAACAACAAATGCCCTTTAAAATCTTTAATGCAGGAGTAAGTTCTCTGAAACACAGATTATGTCTTTTAACCATCAGTGGATATAGCGTACTGTACGTGTTCAATGAACAATTCACTGCTTGATTGGTATGCTGTGTTACATGTAGGGATATGATTTGTGGTAGAGATATCTGAATCTAAATGATAATAAATGGTATTATGACAGGAATCTATGATTATTATCTCTAATAAATTTAGGTGTTAGACTTGTCCACCTTTTGAAAGGAAAAGGTGACTGCTTTTAATTTTGTGAACTGTCTGATGCATGTTGTAGTTGTCTGTGCCAACTCATAGCGACCCCATGTGACAGAATAGAGCCATGCTTCCATAGGTGTTCTTGGCTTTAATCTTTATGGAAGCATATCAGTAAGTACCAATCAGGGACCAGTCTGAAACATTTTTACAACTATCACAAAGTACTCAACATTTTTTATGAACTGATAAATGGTAAATTTATATTTTTCTGTTTATTATTATAGGTATAATGACTGGAGCTTTCTATTCAGTCTCAACACTACTAAATCAAATTATACTGAGAGATTATGAGGTAAGCGTCTGTCTGTATTATATTGCATGTCTGACCCCAAATGTTTTTTGTTTTTTGGTTTTTTTATTGTGAACTAAGTGATAGTTCACATGGAAGAACACCATCTTTTTATTGCAATGATTACAATCTCCTCCGTGCATCATCATTCAACAGTATTGCTTCAACTCCCTGTTTTGTTTTTGTTTTTTCGGGGGAGGGGATGTACACAGAAAAACTCAGGAATATATAATAATTGAAACCACCAAAGGACATATACTGCAAGCCTGCCTCCTAGCCATCAGCACCCAGTCCCTCTCTTTCCATGAATCCAGAGTCCTCAGCTACTCCCTCTCTCCATGTCCCATCTCTGCCTCCATCTCTGGTGTCGCTGCTTCTTTGGATAGGGTCCCACATTCCATTCATGCTCCTCTCTCTTGATGGTCCTGGGGTACTCTATTTCAGGACTGTAAGAGTAGCTACTCCACCATTTTTGTTACAAAACATCTACCTTTACATTTGTAACATTCACAATTAGTCATGGTAACAGTTACTTACTATTGAATCATAAAAATGCTTATCTTTTTTTTTTTAAGAAATTATATGGAAAAAAATTTTAAGTGATAGCAAAACAAATATAAACAAATTAATTTGGGGTGTTTACTAACCTCTCAATATATTAGGATCAGCACTGGGTTGCTAATCTCAAGGTTGGCTGTTCAGACCCACCAGTCACTCCTCAGAAACCCTAGTCAGGGTTGCTGTAAGTCAGAACCGACTCAACAGCACTTAACAACAACAATAACAGATATAATATGTAGAAGTTATCAGATTAATCTCCTTTCCACACATCTGTGAATTATTTAAAAATCCTTGTAATTGTAGCCTTGAAAGACCAAGGAAACCTTTTCTTTTTCATTTCTCTCATATTTTAGTTTTGCCTCCTAGGTTTAAAATAGAACGTACGATATATATTCATTACTTATACCCTCCCCCCTCCCATATACACACACACCTCACATAACCAACATATTGAATCTTTCATTATATTATTATGTTGTTAAGTGCTGTCAAGTCGGTTCTGACCCATAGTGACCCTGCATAGGGTTTCCTAGGAGCAGCTTGAACCTCCCACCTTGCAGTTCAAAGGTCTTTGCAGTCCAGCACATCAGCCCACAGCATCACACCAGGACTCCATGTATTTAATTTTATCTGATTATTACCACTAACTATGAAGAGACATTTTGTTGTTGTTATTATGTGCCATGGAGTCAGTTCCGACTCATAGTGATCCTGTACAGGGTTTCTAAGGCTGTAAGTCTTTACAGGAGCAGAAAGCCTCATATTAAGACTGTAATAAGTCTATCTGAATTAGAGGGAATTTCTAGTTAATTTCTTGTGACTTGTTTTAAGGGAGAAGAAGTAAATGCTGGAAGGATTGGGCTTACGCTGGTGTTAGCTGGAATGGTGGGCTCTATTCTTTGTGGCTTATGGCTGGATTATACCAAAACATACAAGTAAGTATCAGAAGAGAAATGTAAAATCCCCAAAGGCACACTGCTTTTCAAGGAAACTACTTATTATTTTAAGAAAAAAATTTTAAGTATTATTGCTTAAAAAACTTGGATTCTAGAAACTCTTAAGTTCCCTTTACTTACTGGATGTTTCTGTAGTTTTACAGGTTTCCTTAATTTATTTTATTGGTCATATTTATTGCAACTTTGAGAATCTGTATTATGAACATCTTTTCCTCTACCAATACTCATACATACGAAGGAATCATTGCTGTTCTAAAGAGCAGTCCTTTCTGAGAAACATTTGACTTTTGTGTGCATGTCTGGAGATCTATCCTGATGTGCTGCAGGATAAGCACTGGACCACAAAGTCAGTTTGAACCACAAGGTCAAAGGTTTAAACTCGCCAGCCACTTCTCGGAGTTGCTATGAGTCAGAACCGGCTCCATGGCACTTTAAAAACATAACAATAGCATATATATAAAATTTCATTATCTTTTCCATGAAGCTCCCTCACATTATGTGTATGTGTACACACACACACCAGAGCTTCAAAAACATCATGGAAAAAGTCCATTATCAATTTATCAATTCCTAATCTATCTATCTATCTATCTATCTATCTATCTATCTATCTATCTATCTATCTATCTATGTATATATATATATATATAGAGAGAGAGAGAGAGAGAGTGTAGTCAAGTCGGCTATGACCTATAGTGACCCTATATAGAGTTTCTGAGGAGCAGCTGGTAAGCTTGAACTGCCAACCTTGAGGTTCAAACAGACTTTGCAGTCTAACGCATTAACCCACAGCACTACATGAGGACTCGCATATAGAGTATGAGAGGGCTCTTGGAAAATGGAATTGAAATATAATGTAATTTTTCCATGAAATTAAAATAAATATATGGTACTCTGGTAGCATAGTGGTTACGGATTGGGCTGCTAACCTCAAGGTCGGCAGTTCGAAACTACCAGCCGTTCTGCGGGAGAAAGATGAGGCTTTCTGCTCCCGTAAAGATTTACAGCCTCAGAAACCCTGTACAGGGTCACTCTGAGTCGGAACTGACTCTACGGTACTTAACAACAACAACAATATATATATATATATGTGTATGTATGTGTGTGTGTGAGATATATATCTTTTTGCTAAGTGCTGTTGAATCAATTCTGACTCTTAGCAACCCTTTATAGGGTTTTCAAGGAGTGGCTAGTGAATTTGAACCACAGACTTTGTGGTTCAAACTGACCTTGTGGTCAAGTACTTATTCTGCAGTGCCACACCAGGACTCCATGTATACATTTCGAAAATCCCATGATCTTTTCCATGAATCTTTTACACATGAGGGGCTTCAAAAGTTTCATGGAAAAATTCAATTGTCTTTCAGTTATATATATATGTTGTTGTTAAGTGCTTTTGAGTCGATTCTGACCCATAGTAACCCTGTGTAGGGTTTTTTCCAAGGAGCAGATGTTGAGCTTGAATCACCGACCTTGCAGTTCAAATGACTTTGCAGTCTGATGCATTAGCTCACAGCATCACACCAGGATTCCATATAGATATGTAAATATATATGAGGCATTGTAGGATAAGCACTGGACCACAAGGTCAGTTTGAACCTCAGGGTCAGGCATTGTTAAATGCTGTGCAGTCAGTTCAAACTCATGGTAACCCTGTATAGGGTTTTCCAAGGAATGGCTGGTGGGTTTGAACCACTGACCTTACAGTTAATAGTCCAGTGCTTATCCTATAGCACTACACCATATGTACATATACATATATGTATGTATAGTTGCTGTTAAGTGCTGTTGAGTCATTTCCTACTCATAGCGACACTGTATACAGTTTCCAAAGAGCGGCTGGTGAGTTTGAACCTTGCGGTTCAAACTGACCTTGTGGCCCAATGCTTATCCTATAATGCCACACCAGAACTCATATCATATATATATAGCAACAGCAATGACAATATATACATATGTGTAATACACAGGATTTTTCACAAGTGTTCATAGAAAAATAGAATTGAAAGATAATGTAATTTTTCTCTGAATTAAAAAAAAAATCTATATAAGAAAACATTTGTCATATCAACATTTTTTTTTAATATGGATAATTTAATGATATTTTTTACATTCATCATCCTGTATAACCATCATATCTATCCCTTTCCAAATGATTCCATGGTATGGTGCTGTGGGCTAATGCGCTGGATTGCAAAGTCATTATGAACCACAAGGTCAGCAGTTCAAGCTCACCAGCTGCTCCTTGGAAACCCTATACAGGGTTGTTATGGGTTAGAACTGACTCGACGGCACTTCACAACAACAACAATGGAAGCTTAGTGTCCCCTAAGCAATGCCTCCCTCTTTCCCTCCTCCTTCATGCACCTGGTCACCACCGATAAACTTTGGACTATAAACATTCACCTATTCTAAATATTTCATATGGATCTTACAATATTTGTCCTTTTGTGGTGGTTTATTTCATGTGTTTTCAAGGTTCAGTCATGTTAAAGCATGCATCAGAGCTTCATTGTTCTCTGTACTTCATATGTACTACACTGCAATTGTCCATTATCTGTTGATGACCATTTAGGTAGCTTCCACCTTTTGGCTGTTATGAATAATGTTGCAGTGAACATTGCTGTATATGGTATATGTAGCTGTGTGTTTTCCTGCTTTCCATTCTTTGGGGTATATATCTAGGTGTGGAGCTGCTGGATCATATGGTAATTACACATGTAACTTTATATATATATGTATTTTTTTTCTTTTTATTGCAAATTGGGTGAAGGTTTATAGAGGAGATAAGTTTTCCACTCAACAATTCATACAAATTATATTCATCTCATTGATTGCAATCCCCAAAATGTAGTATCACGTATCCCACTTCCTCCTTCTGTTTCCTGTTTTTATTCCTCCATCTTTCCTAGCCCTTCTGAACTTTGTCTTTGGGTCAGTACTGCCCTTTTGATCTCAGATGATTGATTATTTAAGGTGTATGAACCTTCCTAGTGTTATTGTTCTCTTTATATACCTCTGTATTGTTTGGTTGAAAATTGAGCCGGGGGCTGAGTTCATTTTCAGACCTGAAGAGTGGCTAAGGGTCATAGTCTCAGAGGTTCTACCAGTCTTTATTTACCCGGCTAGTAATCCTAGTCTTTTCAATATACAATTGAGGATCTTCCAAACTATTTTCCACTGTGGCTGTACCATTTTACAGTCCCATTAGCAATGGATGAGGATTCCAGTTTCTTCACATCTTCACCAACATCTGTTGTTTTCCTTTTTTAAAAAAAGAAAAAAAATAATATGACTCTGAGGCAAGATGGAGTAGGCAGATGCAATAAACCAACTCTGCCACAAAGACATGAGAGAAGAAGTGAAACAGATACAGAT